GCTTGCTGTCTTCCAGTGCCGAGACGATGCGGGAATGGCGAGCGACGTCCTCAGCCATTCCGCGGGGGGCGCACCGACCCTCAGTCCGTGTGCACGAGGCAGCCACGGGCATCTCCAAAAATCTCCGGCATATCAAGAAAAACAGCGTTTTTTGTAAAGGCATCACCCGAACGTGAATATCACCGGTACCAAAAGAAAAAAGACTGAAGTGTAAACCCAACTCCTACTAGCATTTAAGCCTCCACCACTCGCAAAAAGTTCAGACCGAGCCAAAGCTATTACAAACGACAAATATCATTATGTTGCCATGTTAGCAAAGCGCTACCTGGCTGTATCTGCTACCTCTGTCCCTAGCGAGAGGGTGTTCTCCAGAGCAGGAGACATTGTTAGTGCCAGCAGATCTGCCCTTTCGGCAAGCAAGTTAATTTTTCTTAACAAAAACATGAAAATACAATGACAAGCAAGTCATAATGTCAAACTGGCTGCTTAGGTACTAGTACGGTACAGTTCAAATACAGATTATTTCAGTTCATCGAAATGCTGCACCTTAAAGAGCCTGTGACACAGGTTTCACCCATCATCCAAACCCATCAATTTTAGTAAATATTGTCCCCTTGAAACCGTTACTGAACTGATTTGGGATATTTGTACTTTGATAACCATTAATCTGCCCTTCAATGTTGACCATATTCTGGATCTTCTTGGGGATTCTTCAAATCCCGCCAAATTATGTGTGACGTCATTGCGGGCCAAGAGCTCCAGCTGCACCGTTCCGGATCCCAGCATCTGCATGTAAACGCATGATGGCGCACACAGCAGCAAGCGATGACAGCGATGACAGTTTCATTTTGAACGTGTCTGAGAGCACATATGAGGCTGAAGGATCGGTTTATGTTTTATCTGTTAGAAGTTTAGGAATTAGTTGCGTCAATATGGGTGATAATACGGTCATGTAGCCAATGGTGGACTGGGACTAAAAATCAGCCCGGGACTCTCGACCGGCCCACTTCGGTACCGCTAGTATATTGTCAACGGGGGGGAGTGGGGGATGTGCTAGTGACTTATCCGACCGGCCCACTTCGGTACCGGCCCATCGGGATTCGTCCCAATGGCCAGTCCGCCACTGCACCCAGCCCACGTAAACTGTCAACGTGGAGAGCCTCGATGCGGGGAAACGGTGGACCTAGTGTCCCGATCGGAGTGGGAATAATAATAATAATCATAATCCGTGCATTTTATCATTAATTTCCCCAACATTGTGGTAAAAAAACCACACGTTTAATCCACGTTGGTGTACTACAACTACAAAAAGCATCGGTTTGTTTTTTCATCAGGAAATGCAGACTCAAACAAACGATTTTTAAATCATCATCCTCCTCACGATCATTTAATGTATCATATGTTCGCCGAATTGACATGAAAGCACTAATAAATGTAGTTTAATCCACTTGAGTTTACAACTACAAAAATAATCGATTTGTTTTTATATCACATCCGACGGGAGGAAATTCAGCAGCTCTCACTACCGATTTTTAATCCTAATGTAATCATCATCTTCACCACGATCATTTATGTTTATGTTCGCCGAATTGACATGAAAGCACTGACAAATATGAATATACTGTAGTCAACTTCATTAAAACGTTATTAACGTGCCAAAACTCAGTAATTCACCATTTCTACGCATGACAACACACTTTGTCCGTGTTTGGCTCTCTCGCCGCACAGTGAAGCGTTCCCGCATTGACGTCACTTCCGGCTTCCCCCAAAACTTCAAAATGAGTCGAAGGAATTTCCCCGCGATGTTCGAAATTATTGATATTTATCGGAACGGTATCGCACCTTCTTTTTTAAGCTGACGGTTCGAGATGAGTAGTAGCCCAATATTTCATTGCACAACAGTTGTTGGCAGGCTGTCACAGGCTCTTTAATGTTTATTTTATTATATTTTGTATTTATTTGAGTGAATACATTATTCACAGTTTAATAATAATACAAAAAAAAAAAAAAAGATTTATGTTTTGTGAGAATTTTTTCTGCTGTACCCAAAACGTACCGAACCGAAATGTTTGTGAACCGTTACACTCCTATTGATCACCACAACATACAACTATGTTTTAAATCAATAAAATCATTTTCTAAATCCATAAAAGCATTTAAATTATTATTGGGAGTAATATCGTTACTTGTGTGGCCATGTAATAAGCGGGATAATGTGCGACTTGGTCATTACGGGGAAAAGAACACCGACAGGCTGATCAGGAGCCCGACGCGAAGCAGAGGGTAGATCGACCGCGTCGATGTGCCGCTGCACATTATCCCATACATATGATTATAGTCATTATTCATTTGTTTTAAAGCAGGAGGCGCAAACGCTTGCCTCGGGGAGGGAGAAAAAGAGCCACAGCGGAGAATAAACAGAAGGGCAACCATGGCAACCATGCAAGGGAAGTCTTCTTCGCTGCTTTTGTGGCAGACTATAGCGCCACTTACAGGCCTGGCATATGTACTACAGCGTCTCCAGCGCTTTCGAGCGGCAATGGCCGGCCGTGGCCCAACCTCTCATTCCCCTGATAGGTGGAGAATTGAGCACTAAGCGGAGCACCACTTTTGTGACGTAGAAAATAATTCAAATCTGGATCAGTCTGTATCAGATCCGTTGCAGCCCCGTTTTTAGAGATTTGGGTATGGAGGAAAAGAGAGAGGGTTGTGTTTTCTGACACTTGGTGAGTTCCCTGACACACCGGGGACACATATTCATGTATAAAATACGTACAAGAGTGCATTTTGCATGATAGGTCCCCTTTAATGTGGCGGACCCTCCGTGCGAATGCGCAAACGGAGGGGTAGTGTGTAGGGGTAGGGTGTAGGGGGCGGTTTGGGATTGGGCCTAAATATCATTCCTACTTTCTACCCTCAATGTTTGCAATTGCATCTGTAACGATATTGATCATAAAGCACCTAAACTGCTAAATTCTAATAACCATAAAAACCAGATTCCGAAAAATGGAGAGAGAAAGTTGGACATGTGCTTTGATTAAATATTTAAACAATACAGGATAAAAATCTCAGGAATAAAGCACCCTTTTTTTCTTCTTTAATTAGTGCGAATGCTGTGGCTACAGCATTCCACTATAGTTCTTCAAATCTTTATTAGTCCGAATGCTGTTTACAGCATTCCACTGTAGTTCTTCAAATCTTTATTAGTGTGAATGCTGTTTACAGCATTCCACTGTAGTTCTTCAAATCTTTATTAGTGCGAATGCTGTTTACAGCATTCCATTATAGTTCTTCGAATCTATATTCTTATTTTAAAAAAATAGCCTACTTTGCCGTCGAATAACTTCAGCATACTTTCAGCTACAGAAACCATTACAATATTAAACTATTCAGCCTTTTCAGCAATCGATGGGAAACTTTCAACTTTTTCAAAATATTTCATACTTTTTGAAATATTCAGCTTTTTAAACTCTTTTTTTAACATGGAAGTCAATGGGAGGAGCCTTCAAATCCTCTTTTACCTACACCTTGCACCAAATGCTTCTCCTTCCACATACTTTCAGCTAGAGACTTAATTCCAACTTTAAAATGATCACAAGACCTTTAAAAAATTAAACAAAAACATTAAACAAAATGCCTCTTGAGGGCATGAAGTGACAAAAACTTTCAACATGTCTCCATTAAGGCCAATTGTAAATGCAACGTCATCTTTCATCACAGCACCAGCTGCACAGTTAATCTGCCAAAAATGCCACATTATTGACCCAAAAGTAGCAAAAAAAAGCACACATACACTCCCCACGGTCCTGAGACGCTCCACGCACTGAAGTTTTACCGATATCTGTTACGGTTCTTCTACAAAACGTTCACATGTAAGAGGTTTATCTCTCATTCAGATCAATGGAAAAGCTCTCCTCTCACTGATTACTGCACATCACCATGGACATATTTGATCTCTGGGCTCAAGCGCAGGTGTTATGATAACGTCGTTAACTCAAACACAAACACCTGTGTGATTATGTCATAACTCCACTGTGGCCCTGAACAGCTGAGTGACATCTAATCAGAGCAGACATGCCCACAGACAGACTGGTACACACACACACACACACACACACACAATGGATGTCTATACTACATATGTTCACACACACACACACACACACAGTGAGACAGGGACACAGACACAGACACACGTTCCACATATTTTATATATTATTGGTGACGTATGGTTTTAGTTCAAAAATTTGCAGTTCAAATATTCTGCTGCTTTTCAAAGCATTTTTACTTTATTTTCTCTTCTTAATACACATTCATTCACTACTACTTACATCTGATATTTAACTCCTTCAGCCTACTTTCAGCTAAAGAAACAATGACCAACTATTACATTATTCAGCTATTTCAGGACATTGAGGCTCTACATGTTGTTTATACCTTTTTTAAACCTTTTCTTTTAAATATTAAGCTTTTTCATTATTTTTCCTACTCTTCCAGTTTAACATTTCACTTTCAAGTTTCCAACAAAGTCATTGCAATGCATTTGAGCTGTAACCATTTTGATTCAAATAATTTCACTTTTCTGCATTTCTCCACTAAATTCAGCAACACACTTACTTGGTTTTTGTAGCTAAAAGCAGCTACCATTCAGCTAATAACATATTCAGCTTTTTCTGCATTTTCCGCTAAATTCAGCAACAAAAGTTCACAGTTTACTGCATTCGCACGCATTTTCTGCTGGAAATGCATTTTCTAGTTTGTCCTGCTTTTTGCACTCACTAATTAAACTCCTGAATTCTGAAACTCCTGGATTAATAAAGGTAAAGAACTCCTGGATTAAATAAATAAATATATAAATTGTCTTGAAGTTACACACTCCGGTACAGTAGGTGGCGGCATGCGGCTTTAAACTTCGGTTTGTAGCCCTCCATAAAAACAAAAGAAGTTGAAATAACCAATGAGTAACGCCAGGGGGCAGCAGAGTGCCGTCGGTTCTGTGTGGAGACAGCCATATATACAGTCTATGGTGGAGAGCGAAGAGTAAACCATTCACTTCGCTGCTGGAAACAATATTCCACTCTAGTGAAACACCTTTATGTACTTCAGTGCATACTAGAGGTAAGAATTACACGAATAGTGTTGTCGTTCTTTCACTTCTTTTGAGCTCTGGTTCTTCTATTTATCCATTGAGATTAGCAAGTGGCTAACGCTAGCAAGGTTTGCTAGCTAGAAGCAGCAATACACAATCAAATGCTGTAGGAGAGTAATAATCGGTAAGTTATTTATACAGCTATCTTGTTATTTAGAAATAACCATGGTAAGTAAACAGAACTATAAACATGCAGAACTACATAATGTCCTACTGCAATCGAACCTTACAATCCTTACAGACAAAAGTAGTGCAGTAAAAAGTAGAATATTCAAGTTAAGCACACGTAGGCTACTTAAAATGTGTAATTAAGAGTACTTGAGTAAATGTACTTAGTTACATTTCACCACTCGGACAAATAAACCATCAAGTATTAAAAGCCATACTAGTAAACATTTATGAAGTGCCTACTCTTTTTCAGACTGGCTTTAGAAGATGTCAAATGCAGGGATCCACTCCGCTGAATGTCCTACATGTCCTGTTCTCTACAGTGTCTCTGACAGTTGATGATTGAGTGTCTCTACTTGTCTCCCTCTTATCAGCCAGTCATCATGTCAGGTGGTCCAGCAGTGAGGGTCAGCATCGAGTCTACCTGTGAGAAGCAGGTGCAGGAAGTGGCCCTCGATGGAACAGAAACATACGTCCCTCCTCTCTCCATGTCCCAGAACCTGGCGAAGTTGGCACAAAGAATAGACTTCAGCCAGGGATCTGACTCGGAGGAGGATGAGGTCGAAGGTGAACCCAGGGACAGCGAGTGGAACAAGCAGGAGACCGAGGAAGAGGAAGGTAACGTATGCTCAGAGAAAGCAGAGCTGCTGTGTCACAGCCAAGACTGATCATCATTGTTACACTCTGTTGAAATGTACTTCCGATCAAAATCAACTCATTGGGTTGAATAAAGGGTGCACCAGGCAGTATCAGGGAATTCTATACATTTAGAGGAAAATATGAGATTTTCATAATAAGGTTTCCTCACATTTTCCGCTGCATGGTCACCGATCTTTAAGGTGCTACGTTAAAAAAAAAAAAAAGCAGAAGGTGAAGGATTTTCTCGTCAAGATCCAGTTGGAACATTTTACAATTTATAATGAAAATACTTTGCTTGAAATACATGACTGACACCACTCTCTGCAGCACTGTCCTGTTATCAGTTAGCAATGCTTCAGTCACATAGATGGTGTTTTTCTTAGATGAAAAGTGGATTTGTGTTTTCCTCCCACAGGCACAGTGAAGTTCCAGCCGTCTCTCTGGCCCTGGGACTCGGTGCGTAACAACCTGCGCAGCGCCCTGACGGAGATGTGTGTGCTGCACGACGTGCTCAGCGTGGTGAAAGAGAAGAAGTACATGGCTTTAGACCCAGTGTCTCAGGACCCAGCAGCTAACAAGGTCAACAGGAGAATATCATTTAAAGGGCCAGTTCACCCCAAATTCAAAAGTATATATTTACATGAAGTGCTTTTTATCAATCTAGATATTGCTTTCTTTCCATTCAATTGGAAATGGACTCACTTGCACAGTGGTTGGTGGGCGTAGTTTGGTTGGAAAAAAACGGTCCTACATAATTCTGCTCACAATGGGTTCTTTTGACTATCTGAAGTAATCAAGTCATGATTTCTGATCATAGACATTGCTCGTTTGCTTCTCATATGTATGTATCCACCAATTGTATCACTATGCAGAATGAAGCATGCATCTACTCATGGACATGAAGTGCGTGTTCACTCGTTGACTGTTGACTGTTCATATGTTTGTTTTTTTGTTCCATCTAGTTTCACACCAAAACAATGTAGATTGATAAAAGCATTCTAGTGAAGAGAAAACAGGTTTATTTTCTACATAATGACTTCCAATGCACAACAGCTGTCCTTGCTTTGTGCAGACCCCCCAGGTGTTCCAGCTGATCAGTAAAAAGAAGTTATTGGGCACAGCAGCGCAGCTCCTCCTGAAGGGAGCAGAGAAGCTCAGCAAGTCAGTAGCAGAGAACCAGGAGAACAGGAGGCAGAGGGACTTCAACTCTGAGCTGCTGCGCCTCCGCTCCCAGTGGAAACTACGCAAAGTGGGAGACAAGATCCTGGGAGACCTCAGCTACCGCAGCGCAGGTGAGAACGCCTCTAAGAGAGACTCTAAGGGCTCCTTCAAAGACTCAAAGGCTATATTGTCAGATGCACAGTAGCTACAGTGTAGATCTCTCATCTGAAGTCCCTGGCTCCTCCAACAATGCTATATATATATATATATATGTGTGTGTTTTGGGTCTGTATATATATATATATATATATATATATATATATATATATATGACCCAAAACAATAAAACAAATCAAAAAAGAAATAGAAGAAACAGAGTAGAATGAAATGGTGCAAGACCAAATAAATCCAGTAATGTAAATAATGCAGAGAATGTTGTAAGTGACCAAGTGAAGGCAGGAGTCTTTACACATGTATATAGAATCAGATAAACAAGAACAGGATGTCAGATGAAATAGTGTACAGTGAAATGACATACTGTTTGGTGTAGTAATAAATGAATTGTAAGATGCAAACAGATGAATGCTATAGTCTATGAAGGACGTTCCTTTACAGAGCTCATGTGTTTAGCAATTGTATAGCCTTTGGGATCAAAACATGTTCCAACATGACTGCTTTCTACAACGTAATACAAGGACACTTTAACTTCTGATCTAATCCCAATCTAACATGTGTTGAATACTTACCCATGCAGGTTCCCTTTTTCCTCACCATGGCACGTTTGAGGTGATCAAGAACACAGATATTGATCTGGACAAAAAGACCCCGGAGGACTACTGCCCCCTAGATGTGCAGATCCCCAGTGATTTAGAGGGATCTGCTTATATCAAGGTACAAATCAAAACCATAACTGAATGTTTTTCTATATGAGTGGTAACAAGGAAACATCTGTGTTGACTTTACACACGGTGATTAGCATCTGGAGTTCATTGATGATAACACATTTCTCACTCACCTCTGCATTCTTGTATCAAATGCATGAGGAAAAAAACAGGGAAACGAATGAATTCCCCTGAAGCAGCTGGGAAGTGGCAACATTGGAGTTGGTTATGCAGAGCGGTTTGGTGGATGTCCTGTGCCGTCCGCCCTTTGTATTAGTTTTTTGTGACGTGTCATGTGTTTCAGAATTGTAGTTGTAAAAGTGCTGTTTATGTCTTCAGGTGTCCATCCAGAAACAGTCTCCAGATATCGGTGACCTGGGGACGGTCAGCCTGTTCAGGAGACTTCCAAAGACCAAAGCAGGTACGGTTCAATTCCCCACCCAGAGATGTTCAATCATTACAAGTGATACATGTTTAATGAGGTGAGTCTCTGCCTCTAGGTCAGGGGTCTCCAACCTTTTTTAGGATGAGAGCTACTTTCAAAAAATAAAACTAGTCGGGGGTTACTTTTACTCTTTTGTGTATATATTTATCACATTTTAACATTATTATATGCTGACCTTTAACCTTTGTGTGCTGTTTGGGTCTGTGGGACCCCTTTTCAGTGTTTACTAAAATAACATGTATTCAATTCAATTATTTTTAACCTGCTTTATTTGGGGGTGGACCTCACCTCCTCTAGGGGGGTCCTCACCTCCTCTAGTGGGGTCCGGGGGCATGCTCCCCCAGGAAGATGTTTTTTAAATGTTGAAGTGAAATGCATCAATCTGGTGCACTTTGGGCACAAAATGAATTTATGGATACAGCTCTCAACTCTCAGATGAAAGGGAGCTGTATACTTTTCAATAATCCAAACATCTTTAGAATATGATCGAAAAGAGCGGGGGACATGTCCCCCCCAGTGGAGATTACGCCATGCGTGTGTGTGTGCGTCAAGTGCAATAAATATATATGCATGTTGCAACACACAGAGTAAAGCTCTGCCCCTCATGTGTTGTATAGGCTGGCATGATAGGCTGTTCAATGGGGCTGATGTGTTACTACTGCAACGCTGGTCCCGCAAATCAAGCAAGAACGTGATTGGTCGATATTCATTGTGGGGGTGGGGGGAGGAGGGGTGTTAGATAGATATAGAGTTCGCCTTGATTGAGGTTTCGTTTATGCATAGGGTAGATTCTTTTAATTACATTTCCTTTTTTGTTTTGTGTATTTTATACATTTTGGATTTGCTTGGTGAGCTATTTTTAGAACATGCCCCGCGGGCGACTAAGTACCCGCGGGCACCGTGTTGGATACCCCTGCTCTAGACGATCAAAAGGATGTTATCTCCTTATCTCTTTTTCTTCACTTCCCATTAGTTTATCTTTGGCATCTTCCCCTCATCACCTAAACCCTTTGTTCCTGTCGTCGTCTCTTCTCCATCTCTTTCCTCTGCACCCAGGCACCCAGCAGTGGCACGTGAAGCTCGAGGCGGCTCAGAATGTTCTGCTGTGTAAGGAGATCTTCGCCCAGCTGTCCAGAGAAGCCGTCCAGATTAAATCCCAGATCCCTCACATCGTTGTGAAGAACCAGATCATCTCACAGCCCTTCCCAGGTCACAACGCTGATGACATGTTTTGTTTGACGTTTTCACAGGAACATCAATGTTTGTTGCCTATAAAACATTGACGTGTATCACTATAGGCCTGTGCTATGTTGTAATAGTTCTACATAGAGTGGTGCAGGGATGACGTATTTACCCGGAAGTAAGCTGCGTATGGGTTCCCTCGACAGAAAGCAATGGGATTTCTCCATAGGATTTTGGAAAATAGCTGGAAATAAGGTCTGTGGAAAACGAACCTGTTTGATAAATGCACGTTTTGTTCAGCTGGATAATCTCCACATGTCTATCCTACTTTTATAATTTTCTAATCATAAATCTAATCGCCAGAAGCAAAATGCTAACGTTATGCTATAAAGGAACTACAGCAGAGTACAGCAGGGTCGCTGCTTCAACGTCACAACTTAAAATCCATATTCAAACATACAGATTCAAAATGGTCCAACTTGAAGCGTTTGTTTGAACAGTTTGCAGGAGGCAGGGACTTACTTTCAAGCAGAACAGAAACTAACTTAGAGGAGTCTTTACGTGTTCGGCGTAATGACGTACAACGTCCTCCACGACTTCTGTAGTCCTATTCAGCCACTTGATAACAACCATCGTTTTTCAGACCCGTCAACTCTTCAAAAAGCACCACTGCTGATGTATTTAATGTCGTAGAGCAAAACGTGATCCGTCTCTTGACTTGTGTCAACCACAGACCGTATTTTGAGCTATTTTCCAAAATCCTATGGAGAAATCCCATTGGCTCTGAGACGAGGGAACCGCCCCGGTAGTGGTAAAATGCTAACTCACTTCCGGGTTTTAGGACTCGTCACTGCACCACTCTATTAGGAACATATTTAAAAGAGGACAAAAGACAGAAAAACCTTTGGTCAAGTGTATCTCTGGAGTAGCCCTTTTCCCTCTCTGAACAGAGGCATAAAACAATATACTGTTTGTTCCTTTATAGGACTGCAGCTGTCCATCTCACTCTGCCACTCCACGGGAGAGAAGAAGAACCATCGAGCGTCTCCAGAGAAACCCAAACCAGACGACCACCTTTACGTACTGGAACACAATCTGCATCAGATGATGAGAGAGGTGAAACACTGCTGTTCCTCTGCATGTAAAGCTGTTTTCTTATCACACATATTGATACAGCAAGACATTGAGCCACCAACATTTCAAAAGATATTTTGAAACAATTTGACCAGAGAGAATGATAACGTATCGTGGACAGATCATTTTTTTAGTTCACAAAGGAAAACTGTGAGCGAACCTAGTCAACAGTTTAATTTCAGTTTTAATTTCCGGAAGAATCTGCAAGCTCATATCTAATGTCTAAAATACCGCCCTAAATATATCTAGAAAAGTCCCATGAGCAGAAGTCTTTTACTTCATTTACAATGGTTACATTTGAACCAAACGGTTCTTTTACAGTTCCACAAGCAGCAGCTGAGCTCTGTGGTGATGCCTCATCCTGCTAGCGCCCCCTTTGGCCACAAACGCATGCGCCTCGCGGGGCCCATGGCCTACGACAAAGCTGAGATCTCCAACCTGCAGCAGAACGAGGGCCTTCTGGAGAAGATCATCAAACAGGCCAAACACATCTTCCTACGTAGCAGGTAGCTTTAATCTTACCATCTGCTATTTTCTTTTTTTTGTCAAAGAAATTATGCATAATTTACAATTGCAGTACTTTAGTTACAGAAGTTCACCATCCGTGCAAAAAAACAAAACAACATTTCAAAGAAAGGAAAATTCAAATGTACTTAAAATTGAGACAATGACATATATCATTGATTGTAAACCCCTTTTTAACAATGAAAACATGAAATATAATTAAGGTAATAAACACACACACACATATATATATATATATATATATATAGTGTGTGTATATCAGCGACGTGCAGTCAGGGGAGGCAGGGGAGGCAGAGCCTCACCTGTCATACTCCAATGTAACGGAAAACAACTAAAGAAAAACTAAATAATAATAAAATGTCTCCACTGATCTGTGTTGTAAATGTGATTTATGTTTGATTCCAATCGCTTTTTATAGTCAAAATCAGCAAATTTGCCGAGCTCCGCTACAACTACATGGGAGCGATGAGAAGTGAGGCAGGGACGAGCTCTGCCTCTCGTAAGCCCACAGTAACTGGCTGGAGCGCGGGCACTAATGTAGCGCGGGCACTTATTTTGTGAGCGCGCTCAAGCCAGTTATTACTGTGTGGTGAGGTGAGGCACAGATGAGCTCTGCCTCACCTCAGAATGCGTCACCCCACAGAAACTGGCTGGAAAGCGGGCCCTAAGCGCATGCCTGTTACCATCTCACTGTATGTCACCAATGTAATGTTTGTAGATCCCTTTATTACATTTATCCTCGCCATCCATAGTCTCTAAATAACTTATTTCACGTATATATGATATTTAGGCCCGCTGGTCTCATGATACAACGGCAATGAAAAAATCACCAGGGGAGGCAGCCATAACCTCTGCCGCACTGAAGGGGGCGCAAGGGAGCCCACAGGTTCTTGTTGCTACTGTTATTCTACGCAGAGACGGTAGACGCAAACAACAAGCTAGACTTTTGAAACTAGAGGAAGATAAGGAGGACTTTTACAAAAAAGTAATAGAGATTGTTGTCCAGAAGGATAGCATGGACTTCATCTTCAAGTCAAGGTAAGACCCCAATTGTAATGAAAATGGAATCTTACTAAGAAAGAACAATCCAATATTTAGATTTTGGGTATCCTTTTGTTGAAGGGTCTGTTTAAAATGAATCGAAGCATCAGACCAAAAAAGCTTTTGAAAATAACACGTTAATAACGCGTTAACGCAAAAAAAAATGAACGCCACTAATTATTTTAACGCGATTAAAGCATGTGTATTTTTTGTCCTCTGTCGCCCCGTAGTTTCAGAGCGCATCGAGTTTAAAATACCATCTACAAGCTGATGCTGACAGCCCCGCTCCTGCCGCCCGCTTGTGGCAGACCACACTTCCACGCTCACCGGCAGGCACCGACTGGCTGTTGGGAGGACCGGGAGGGTGTGTGTATGTGTGTCCCGAGCGAGCGAGAGAGAGACCTTACGTGCATTGTTGTTGTTAGCATCTGGTGCTAGCTAGCTGCGCTAACGGATATGGAGCTGTTTAAATGAAAACAGAGGAGCGACATTTCGCCACAACTGCGCCGAGCACTTGACTTTATGCAGGAAGCCAGACAGTGGGACATTGTACGAAAGTCAGCACACTCAGAACGGATAGTGCGCAACATGATTGCAGCGTCCAGGCAGCTCCCGTTCGAGCATATGCCTTGAGTTGCACATAGCTCCAATGATCCATCACACACACACACACACACGCACGCATACACACACACACACACACACACACACACACACACATACACAATTTTTATTGTATGAGAGAGGTTCCAGGTTGAATTGAGGCGAATATTTGTAATGTTCAGAGGTTGTTGTGTTTAATATTCATGAGGATATTTGTCATTGTTCAAATGATAATAAACATTAGCATAAAGCACATTTGTCCACTCATATGTTGATAAGAGTATTAAAAACTTGAAAAATATTCCTCTAAGGTACATTTAGAACAGATCAAAAATGTGCGATTAATTTGCGATTAATCGCGATTAACTATGGACAATCATGCCATTAAATATTTTAATCGACTGACAGCCCTAATATATATATATATATATATATATATATATATATATATTAGGGTGGTCCTTAAAATTGAAAGTTGGAAAGTCTAAGCTCCAACCCCCAGAATTCATTCTATTATTCAAGAAAACTCTCCTGGTGAATTGTTTTCTCAATCTGACAACATGTACCCCTCCCTCATCAACCTGGAAGTTTAGCCTCAGTTGCAGCACCGTGGCTGCTGGTGTGGCAGACCAGCTCCATGAGGGAGGGGTACATGTTGTCAGATTTTGTTATTAAAAAAAAAATGTACCTCTCACGAAGGACCACCCTAATAAATATACTATATATCAGTGGTTGCGTTAGACTTCAGGATCGTAAAATTTCCGTCATAATCCATTATTACCCGTCATTTTATTTTTCATGTTTTAATGATGAGATGAGACATATTTAATATTTATGTTTGGGTACTGAGCAGCAAATGTTCATTCATTCATGTTTTAATGATTCATACAGAACTTTTAAGGGCATGGAGAAAAAAAAACACACCGACCGTGTGGTCACTTTTCATGTCAACATGAACATGAATGATTTATTTGTTCCTGGCAGACGGCACAGCAGAGGGGGCAGAGGCCGCTAAAAACACGCGACCATTGTGCCTAAACAGGCAAATATGAACAATGCCATCGTTTTAAATGAGACAATTACAATCAGAATATGAACAAAACATTTACAAGAACAACTCAATTGACCTGCTGTAGCCTGAACGCTGATTTCTGCATCGCCGTGCACCTTCGGACAAATCCGTTACTCATCTTAGCTTTTCTACAGATGTCGCAGAACATTTTTTCCGTCTTCCCTCCTCAGCTACTTAAACTCTTGCTCCCACTGAACCCGGTACTCCCGCTTGAACTCCTTGCCACTTGCTTGCCCCTCTGCCGCTGGCTGAACGTTGTCAGTTTTAGTCTTACTGGCTTGTCCTTCATCCTCCACCGCATCAATCCCTCTTTTCAACTCGTTTATCCACACCATCACAATTACTGGGCTTATTAAAAAAGCTTCGGACGATCAGCTGCCGTGACATTTTGCGATTGCTAAAGCCGGTTAAACAACGAGGTAATCAACGAGGTCAAAAACAAGACTAGACAATAGCTACTTAATATGCACACACTCGCCACCAACTGGACAGGGGTGTGAATGACTAAATAATAGTTACAGTAGAGTACAGTAGATCGCCCTCAGTCGACCTGGCCACTAAGGATGTAATATAATGTGGGCCGCTGGTGGACATTTTGGCGCTGTTCCGAGTTGTGTTCTAATCTGTCAAAATGACGGACTGCTTTCAGATTTTTCCGACATTCTTGGAAAAATTGCGTCATAGACGGAAAATATTCGGTTAACGCGACCTCTGCTATATATATATATATATATATATATATGTGTGTGTATATGTGTGTATATATATATATATATATATATATATATATGTGTGTGTATATGTGTGTATATATATATATATATATATATATATATATATATATATATATATGTGATGTGCGGTGAGGTTCATGGCTGGTGAGGCACTGACTCTTTCAGAGTCAGATTTACAAATATTATATTTTGACCTTTATCGAAATATTCGGTTATTTTCAAAAGCTTTTTTGGTCTGATGCTTCGATTCATTTTAAACAGACCGTTCAACAAAAGGATACCCAACATCTAAATATTGGATTGTTCTTTCTTAGTAAGATCCCATTTTCATTACAATGGTGGTCTTACCTTGACTTGAAGATGAAGTCCATGCTCTCCTTCTGGACAACAATCTCTATTACTTTTTTGTAAAAGTCCTCCTTATCTTCCTGTAGTTTCAAAAGTCTAGTTTGTTGTTCGCGTCTATACCGTCTCTGCGTAGAATAACAGTAGCAACAAGAACCTGTGGCCTCACTTGCGCCCCCTTCAGTGCGGCAGAGGTTATGGCTGCCTCCCCTGGTGATTTTTTCATTGCCGTTTTACGGCGAGCCTAAATATCATATATACGTGAAATAAGTTATTTAGAGACTATGGATGGCGAGGATAAATGTAATAAAGGGATCTACAAACATTACATTGGTGACATACAGTGAGATGGTGCAGGCATGCGCTTAGGGCCCGCTTTCCAGCCAGTTTCTGTGGGGTGACGCATTCTGAGGTGAGGCAGAGCTCATCTGTGCCTCACCTCACCCCACAGTAACTGGCTTGAGCGCGCTCACAAAATAAGTGCCCGCGCTACATTAGTGCCCGCGCTCCAGCCAGTTACTGTGGGCTTACGAGAGGCAGAGCTCGTCCCTGCCTCACTTCTCATCGCTACCCGTAGTTGTAGCGGAGCTCGGCAAATTTGCTGATTTTGACTATAAAAAGCTATTGGAATCAAACAGAAATCACATTTACAACACAGATCAGTGGAGACATTTTATTATTATTACTATTTAGTTTTTCTTTAGTTGTTTTTCCGTTACATTGGAGTATGACAGGTGAGGCTCTGCCTCCCCTGACTGCACGTCGCTGATATATATATATATATATATATACAATAATAATATTTAAAATGAGCACTGAGCCACCACAATTACATGCTACCGTAACATTATGGGATGAAAGTATCAGTAACATGTTTTGCAATGGAAATCATTGGAAGTTGTGCAAAATGATTGATATTTGGATCAGTTGCAGTTGTAGTAAGCACACATTGTTTCGTCCATTTATGAAACTCTCCAAGATTCCCCTTACTGCATTTTCACGTTTGGCCAGTAGATGGTGCGCTGTCTTCGCTCATATTTACAAGCAAAGAAGTTTTGATTTGTTTATGCTGAGTGACGTCCTTTGTAAGGTTTATTTTTCTTCATAATTCAGTGTAAACGTTTGTGACCACCAGGACGGCACGGACTATTGACAGCCTGGCCAGCCGCATAGAAGACCCTCAGATCCAGGCTCACTGGTCCAACATCAACGATGTGTACGAGTCCAGTGTCAAGGTGCTCATCACCTCTCAGGGCTACGAGCAGATCTGCAAGTAAGTGGAGGAGAGGAAGGGTGTGTGTGTGTGTGTGTGTGGTGTAGTGTGTGTGTGTGTGTGTGTGTGTGTGTGTGTGTGTGTGTGTGTGTGTGTGTGTGGTGTGTGTGTGTGTGTGTGTGTGTGTGTGTGTGTGTGTGTGTGTGTGTGTGTGTTGTGTGTGTGTGTGTGTGTGTGTGTGTGTGTGTGTGTGTGTGTGTGTGTGTGTGTGTGTGTGTGTGTGTGTGTGTGTGTGTGTGTGTGTGTGTGTGTGTGTGTGTGTGTGTGTGTGTGTGTGTGTGTGTGTGTGTGTGTGTCCTCATCCCAAAAGTTGTCTCCTTTTTAGGAACCAATTTATTTTAGGGATGCCTATCATGGATGTTTTTAAGCCGATACAATAACCATTAATTTCCCTTTTTTTCCACAAAGAAGTTAATCACTTATATTTAAAACGTAATTTGTTGGTGGAAAGCTGTTTTTGAATGCATGGGCGAGAAGTAGGTATTTATATACTGTGGCTGTCATCGAATATAAAGCCTATTAAATGCTTTTTATGCACTGACATAATGCTCAAATCATAACTTAAACACAAATAAATGAAACGAAGTAAGTAAAAAGCATTTCTCAATAATTAGCTCCGATGTTAGTTCCTCACTGGACACATTTCTGACAGGTGCAGCGCAACATGTCTGTGTGTTTAGGTCCATCCAGCTGCAGCTGAACATTGGTGTGGAGCAGATCAGGGTGGTGCACAGAGACGGACGGGTGGTGACTCTGTCGCACCAGGAGCAGGAGCTGCAGGACTTCCTGCTCTCACAGGTGTGTGTGTGTGTGTGGTACACATAGTCTGGTTGTTACCTGGTACTAGTAATAACCAGTTGTGGAATGTAACTGTAACTACTCCAGTGCATAGTACAAAAGTAAATGAGAAATGTTTAACTTCCGTCCATTTTGCTGGAGCACAGAGCCTCCCACTCTTTTGCTAAAGTCGGTTTTCAGGTCATCTGGCTCACTTTTGTTCGAGCAACAGATCTGGCAACATGGAGGGAAGTTAAACATTTGCATATATGTTTATTTCAATATACATCCCATTCTAATGATTCACAGCGTGTTGAATATCCGTTTAGGATAAATTCAAGGTTTCACGTGTTTTATGCAACCTTATATATCTTCTCCATCACACCTCAGAGGGAAATATTGTACTTTATTGTACTTTTCAGAAAGCATGACCAGTGGAAACCTTATATCAGAAAATATGGTGATTTTCAACTTGAAAGTCTTTATTTATTTGTTCTGAATTATCCCCTTAATTATCTCAACTTTAGCTAAATACACTATTTAAAAAGCCTCTTGGATTAGCTGGTAAATACATCATTACAAAGTTCTAAATAGGGCTGTTTGACTTTAGAGATATTGTCAAATTGAGTTCTCCCAGGACAACAGCGCTATATAGTGTATAAAAGAATGAAAAGGAGCACAACCTTAAATATCTAGAGCAGAATGCTACACACACATGAATGCAGCAGTAATTTCGTTGTCCCCAGATGTCTCAGCATCAGGTGCATGCAGTGCAGCAGCTGGCCAAAGTGATGGGCTGGCAGGTCCTCAGCTTCAGTAACCACGTGGGCCTGGGCCCGGTGGAGAGCATCGGGAACGCCTCGGCTGTCACCGTCGCCTCTCCCAACGGAGAGTACGCCATCTCAGGTGAGACAAGTAGCGCTGCCCTGACTAAAAATGTTTCTAATTAACCAATTGTCGGCGATTAGTCGACTAATCATCGCATGTATATTATGATTATTGATATTATTTATACATTTTGTCTCCAAAAATGGTTTCAGTTTCAAAGGCATGGTACGTTGTGCTTCTCATAAAATAAAACTGTAGTAATGAACCTTAGAAATATAAATTAAATTGTACACGTAGAAAGCGCATGAGTCACAGCGCACGGACGGAGCGGTCTGCCGTCAGCGGGATAAATTGCAGAAGCTCCGGTAAGGATTCTTAATATGTCGGAACAAGCAGCGAGGACACACGCTGAGCATTTACTCCAAAAATACCTCCGCACATTACGCCCTCATCATGAAATGAAAGACTTAATTTATTGGTTTCTGAGGTCATAATGATTATATATTATCGGTCTATATGTTGATACAAAGCTAGGCTACTGCCTGACTCACTGCTGCTGGGTTTCCTCAGTCTGAGAAAGTAACACTCGGGGATAATGAAGCTCTGATGGCAGGATATGGAGGAGACTTTTTTCCTGTCACCTTGTGGAGGTCGTTCTTTACACGAAGTTAACCTCTTTCTGAATAAATGATATTCTGATTTGTTTAAATCATCTTACAGGTAAAGCTTTGATAACTTGCCAGAGATCAAGCTTAACTAACTAGCTTGATGGCTTAATAATGTTGACCTATCAGTTTTATTGGATTTCCATATTGGTATCTCTGAACCAAACAACAAGATAGTCATTTTCAAAACTCAAATGTGCTGTCATTAAACAGTCACAGGGGAAGAAATGCATGAGAATTAAACAAATATACATCCAGAATGCAGCGGCTCGTCTGGTCTTCAACCTTCCTAAATTCTCCCACACCACTCCGCTCCTCCGCTCCCTTCACTGGCTTCCGGTAACTGCTAGAATCCACTTCAAGACACTGGTACTTGCATACCATGCTGTGAATGGATCTGGCCCTTCCTACATCCAGGACATGGTTAAACCGTACACCCCAGCACGTGCACTACGCTCTGCATCAGCCAAACGACTCGTTGCGCCCTCGCTGCGAGGGGGACCCAAGTTCCCATCGGCGAAAACACGTGGGTTTGCTGTCCTGGCTCCAAGATGGTGGAATGAGCTCCCCATTGACATCAGGACGGCAGATAGCTTGCACATCTTCCGGCGCAAACTGAAAACTCATCTCTTTCGACTCCACTTCGAGCGTTAGAACTATTAACTAGGGCCGGGACTCGATTAAAAAAATTAATCTAATTAATTAGAGGTTTTGTAATTAATTAATCGAAATTAATCGCATTTTTAATCACATATAAATATTTGACCTAAGAACAGTGAGAAGCAATTTTTTTTCACATGGATTTTAGTATACCATTAGGCGCATTCACACCGCAGTACTTTTCCCACAAAGGTTCATGAGAACTCTTTGAACCTGGGGGTGGATTAGGCAAATGAAGCCGCTGACGTCACTTCTTCTTCTTCTGCTTTGGGTTTACTGGCAGGCCGCAAATCACTTCACGGCGTATACTGCCACCCAAAGTCCCCGGCCGGAAGTCCCCGGAGTTGGGGACTGGCTTCAGTAGAAGCTGCTGGGAGTCCCAGCAGCCTTCCGAGTAAATCGCCAGAACGCCGACACCTCCTCATCTCCACCGCTCCCATGTTTTATTTTGTGTTGCCATAAGTTAGTCTCTCTGCGTTTCTGCGCTGGGCTAATGCTAATAATGCTAATGCGAGGATAATAAAATGGCGGCTTCACAAAACGTTTTGGGAGTTTTACGGGGCGTGGTTTGCAATACGCCCAGCCAATCAGAAATATAGCTCTTTTCTCACAAGAGAGCCGTACGAAAGTCCCTGCTCTCTAGCAGCTCTCTGCTCTCTAGCAGGGACTTTCGTGGGGGTAAAAAGGTTCTCATTAACTAATTTTAGTACCGGCTCTTTTTGGTGTGAACGCGATAAAAGAGGCTAACGTCCACGCTAGCTTCCACGCTAGCTGCTATATGTTTTGCATTGAGGTGATACTTGAGGCTTGATGTGCTGCGGTGATATGCGAATTCCGTTTTGCATAATTTGCGCACAACCGTGCTCTTATCGACGCTTCCATCCGTCCGTTTTTTAAAACAACATTTCCCACTGTTGTTCACTGTGGTTTGTTGTTGTCTGAAGTCATGAACGTTAGTTGGTCCTCCAGTATAATCGGTACGCCTGAAACTCATCCAGTGAGAAACGTTCCGCGGTGCAAAAATAAGTGCGATTAAAATGCGTTAATTTTTTTAACGCGTTAATTTTTGTGTAATTAATTAATCTTAATTAACGCGTTAAAGTCCCGGCCCTACTATTAACGAAGCACTTTTATACTAATAAAGGACTGGCTTATCTAAAGCCAGTTGAGTAGCACTTGAAATGTTTGGCTCTATGAAACCTGATATACTTATATGATTCTGTTTACTTCAAGGTTGTGTCTTCCTGGTCGAATGTACTTATTGTAAGTCGCTTTGGATAAAAGCGTCAGCTAAATGCAATGTAATGTAATATGTAAGTCACAATTAGCAATAATTGACCAGAATTCAAAGGAGCAGAGATGAGACTTGTTGCAGTTTGAACAAAAAGGCTTACACACTTTCCCTTTTTCCTGAGCAGGTGAAGCAACTCATGCATTGCTCTTGCTTAATGCAACTAGGCCACACCCAGTCTCAGCTCTTAAATCACATGAGACCAGACTGACGGGTTGAAACAAGTCGAAGGATCATTGAGAGAGAAACTCACATCACCTCACCTCAAAAGAACTTACGAAGGGTTGTTATCTATAACAGTATCCCAGGACAGTGATACTGAATGCTCTCATTATCTCACATTACCACCAAGTATGCCAGTATTAACATATGTGTATCTGTTTTCCATTCAGTGCGTAATGGCCCAGAGAGCGGGTGCAAAGTTTTGGTCCAGTTCCCCCGCAGCCAGACTAAAGAGCTGCCCAAGAGCGACGTCATCCAGGACCCCAAGTGGAGCCACCTCCGAGGGCCCAGCAAGGAGGTCCACTGGAGCAAGATGGAGGGCCGCAACTTTGTGTACAAGATGGAGCTCCTCATGGCGGCACTGACCCCCTGCCCCTAGATACTGTCACACTCTTCATAGACTTGTACACTCCCTTACACTTTTTGTTTACCCAATCCTTGGACTTTCAATACTGCCATCGTTTCCTTTTCACCTAGTGTCTGCTGCCCTCTCGGTTTTAGTTAACGTGAGGTGTGTGCCTCACACTATTTCATACAAAATAAAAGGTTAAGTCTGTCCATGTGTTTGTGTTGATTTGTCAAAATATCATAAGAATGAAGCTATGAATTAGATGTGATTTAAAGCGGTATGGTTAACTTAGTTCACTGTGAGGAATGTGTTTGTGGTCTTTATCTTTACAGTATCAATGATCTAATATGAGCAACAGCATTTTGGAGAAACAGACTTTTTACTCCCTTTCATCAGATGTATTATCTATTAAATATTTTTCTTTATTTGTTAGGTCTGATACCTGGTTTGTATGATTGTGTGAAAAAGCCACGATGAAAAGAAAACCACACAATTCACTTGTTTAGACAATAAATACAGTATGTATTGTTTTCCAATATCATGAGGGATATATTTACATTCATCCAGTGTTATCAGCTGTAAAGCATGTGCATTCAATACAAATGTAAACATGGTACACAGTTTTCATAATTAAACTGCCTTCCTCTGTGTAAGTAACATGTTCAACAGAAAAAAATAAGATACATTTTATTTACATCTAACTTTAAAAATAACTCTTGTGTTAAGTGAACAGTGTGTAGTTTCTTCCGGCGGTGCAGACGTCCATCAAAGAGGCTGCAGCTCTGTGGCATCATTTTCTGCATGAAAGGACACTTAAACTTAACACTTCATACAGAACAGCGCTATATTAGACCTTTGTCACTTTAACACACCCATACTTAGACACAATACATCACTTTCACCCACACTCACGCCCATCAAGCCATATTCATCCCTTTCACACACTGAGGCAGCAGAAAGTAAACTCAACTCATACTCTATATAGAATCAAGATCCAGCCAAAGGATCCAGCCTATATCTCGGTTTAAAAATAATTGAAGTTCTTCTTACAGTTAGAGAAAATGAGGTGCACACTCAAAGGCTCCTCTCAAACCTTTATTAGAACATGGAAACCCTTTCTGGACTTTATGAGTCCTTAGAGCAGGGTTGTCAAACTCAAGGCCGGGGGCCAAATCCGGCCCGCGACTTCATTTTATGTGGCGCCGCAAGAGCTTACAAAGAATATAATACGTTTATTATACAGTTACATGCCACTTTACAGAATCAGGTTGCCCATAAATTACATGTCCCACAATGCATCTCGTTTTGTGACATGCGCACTGAAGAGACTTGCAATTATTTGCCCTGGATTTCTGCTTTCAGACGTAGTTAATTACTAAGTTATAATCCTATCCGATAATAATCCAATGCAGAGGCAATAATGTAATATAATACATTATTTTATGTATATATTATATATTTACACTAAACAAAAATATAAACGCAAGACTTTTGTTTTTGCTCCCATTTTTCATGAGATGAACTCAAAGATCTAAAACATTTTCTATATACACAAAATAACCATTTCTCTCAAATATTGTTCACAAATCTGAAAAAATCTGTGATAGTGAGCACTTCTCCTTTGCCGAGATAATCCATCCCACCTCACAGGTGTGGCATATCAAGATGCTGATTAGACAGCATGATTATTGCACAGGTGTGCCTTAGGCTGGCCACAATAAAAGGCCACTCTGAAACGTGCAGTTTTGCTTTATTGGGGGGGTCTGGGGGGTCCGAAAACCAGTCAGTATCTGGTGTGAGGGGTAGGGTAGGGTTAGGGTTAGGGTAATGTTGTGAATCGAGTGGCCTGTGTTCGTCGTCCATAACATACGCCTGCCCATACCATAACCCCACCACCACCATGGGCCACTCGATTCACAACATTACCCTAACCCTACCCCTCACACCAGATACTGACTGGTTTTCGGACCCCCCCAGACCCCCCCAATAAAGCAAAAATGCATGTTTCAGAGTGGCCTTTTATTGTGGCCAGCCTAAGGCACACCTGTGCAATAATCATGCTGTCTAATCAGCATCTTGATATGCCACACCTGTGAGGTGGGATGGATTATCTCGGCAAAGGAGAAGTGCTCACTATCACAGATCTTTTCAGATTTGTGAACAATATTTGAGAGCAATGGTTATTTTGTGTATATAGAAAATGTTTTAGATCTTTGAGTTCATCTCATGAAAAATGGGAGCAAAAACAAAAGTCTTGCGTTTATATTTTTGTTCAGTGTATATATGTATATTTATATAGTTACAACCGGCCCTTTGAGTGCAACCTTAATGCTAATGTGGCCCTCGTTGAAATAGAGTTTGACACCCCTGCCTTAGAGGATCCACTTGATAAGGAATTAGATTGGATTCCTGCGTACGATATCAGAGCAGTGAATATTTAATATATATGGGGGGTTTTTTTTCTGAGAGAGTGGTGGGATGGAAATAGAATTATTGTATGCATGTGTGTAGATATCATTACTAGAATTTGCACCGAATGTACATGCCTGGTATCACTTGCTTTCCTGGAGTAGCTTTGCTTGCTGCTAACTCTCCCACCTTTTTATTTACCACAGCTAATCACTCATTGAGTAGTGAAGGGAAGTGTATCTTTAGGGGATAAGATATCACCATAGGCGCTTTCACACCGGAGTACTTTTCCCAGTAGGCTAGAGTTCCGATATAGTTCAGAAAATGTGCGTTCACACCAAAAAAATCCGGAACTAGAATTTAGTTTAAAGGCACGTTCACACCGCAGTACTTTTCCCACTTTAGTTCCGATATAGTTCCGAAATGTTGCGTTCACACCAAAAAAATCCAGAACTAAAATGTGTTCATGAGAACCTTTTTACCCCCTTTTCAGTTTTCGTGGGAGAAAAAGGTTCCTATTTCTGATTGGCTGGGCGGATTGCAAACCATGCCCCGTGAAACTCCCAAAAAGTTTTGTGAAGCCATCATTTTATTATCCTCGCATTAGCATTATTAGCATTAGCATTAGCCCAGCGTACAAACGCAGAGAGACTAACTTATGGCAACACAAAAGAAAACATGGGAGCGGTGGAGATGAGGAGGTGTCGGCGTTCTGGCGATTTACTCGGAAGGCTTCAGTAGAAGCTGCTGGGAGTCCCAGCAGCTTCTACTGAAGCCAGTCCCCAACTCCGGGGTCTTCCGGCCGGGGACTTCGGGTGGCAGTATATGCTGTGAAGTTGTTTGCAGCCTGCCAGTAAACCCAAAGCCGAAGAAGTGAGGTCAGCGGCTTCATTTGCCTAATCCTCCCCCAGGGACTTATTCCGGTGTGAACGCGATCTGTACTTAGTTCATGAGAACTAAAGAGTTCATGAACTAAATTCTGATGAACCTTTGTGGGAAAAGTACTGCTGTGTGAAAGCGTCTATTAGCCGCGTTCACACCAAGTACTTTGCCGTACTTAGTTCCCAGCATTTAGTTCCCAGCACTTAGTTCCCAGCGTTCACACCGGAATAAGTTCCCTGAGGGAGGATTAGGCAAATGAAGCCGCTGACATCACTTCTTCTTCTTCTGCTTTGGGTTTACTGGCAGGCCGCAAACCACTTCACGGCGTATACTGCCGCCCAAAGTCCCCGGCCGGAAGTCCCCGGAGTTAGGGACTGGCTTCAATAGAAGCTGCTGGGAGTTCTGAGTAAATCGCCAGAACTCCGACACCTCCTCATCTCCACCGCTCCCATGTTTTCTTTTGTGTTGCCATAAGTTAGTCTCTCTCCGTTGGTGCGCTGGGCTAATGCTAATGCTAATAATGCTAATGCAAGGATAATAAAATGGCAGCTCTACAAAACATTTCAGAGTTTTACGGGGCGTGGTTTGCAATCGCCCAGCCAATCAGAACTGTGGTACTTTTTTTCCCCAGGAAAGTACCTGCTCTCAGCAGGCGCTAAAAATCGGGTGAAAAGTTCCCGGCACTTAGTTATTTTTGTGGTGTGAACGCGACATCAGGGGTACTAACGGAACTAAACCCGAAAAGTACGGGTGAAAAGTACTCGGTGTGAACGCGGCTATTATTGAGAACCTTTTCACCCCCCTTTTCAGTCCCTGCTAGAGAGCCTTTCATGGGAGAAAAAGGTTCCTATGTCTGATTGGCTGGGAGAATTGCTAACCACGCCCCGTAAAACTCAGAAAAAGTTTTGTGAAGCCGCCATTTTATTTTTCTTGCATTAGCATTATTAGCATTAGCATTAGCCCAACGCACAAACGGAGAGAGACTAACTTATGGCAACACAAAAGAAAACATGGGAGCGGTGGAGATGAGGAGGTGTCGGCGTTCTGGCGATTTACTCGGAAGGCTTCAGAAGCAATTAAATGATAATTAAGTGTTTATTATCATTGTTTATTACAATGATAATAAACATTTAAATGTCTATTTTGTATGTTTTTGTCTCTACTAATCCGAAATTAGACATGTTAAAGAAGCACATTTACTCAAAATAGTGCATTAAAAGATCATATTTTTAGCTTAGGTGTCGCTTCTTAATTGTTTGAAAGATGGTGTTTCATACAAGACTCCCAGCAGCTTCTACTGAAGCCAGTCCCCAACTCCGGGGACTTCCGGCCGGGGACTTCGGGTGGCAGTATACGCCGTGAAGTTGTTTGCGGCCTGCCAGTAAACCCAAAGCAGAAGAAGAAGAAGTGACGTCAGAGGCTTCATTTGCCTAATACTCCCCCAGGGACTTATTCCGGTGTGAACGCGATCTGTACTTAGTTCATCAGAACTAAAGAGTTCTGATGAACTAAAGAGTTCTCATGAACTAAGTACGGCAAAGTACTTGGTGTGAAAGCGCTTCATGACACTTCCTCCTTTAAATACTTAAATTGAGACAAACGTATTTTTTATATTGTGTTTTAAATATTCCCATGAAGCATTATCACTATCTTTTGGTGAATAAGAAGAACACTAAAGATGCAATTAGACTAAGAATTGTAAAATAAATGATTTTGGATGTTTTTGTTTCTACTAATCCAAATTATTAGTTGTCTAAATGTCTTTAAATACCCATTGATATGAAATGGCTAACAGGAAGTCCCAGTTCCCTAAACAAGCCTCACTTCAGTTTAATGTTTCAACTTTTTAACATTTAAATGTTCAACTTGACAAACTTCTTGGATAGGCTTTCAAAAAGCATTTTATTCATTGCGGCACAGTTAAATAAAAGTTGAATTTGAAATATGAAAAAATAAATGCTCACTTCTTCCTAAAGTGCATTTTTGTGCAATATTTGTTCTCCTGAAATGTTATGTTTAAATATTCACACGAGGCATTAATTAACACCATCTAATGGTGAATAAGAAGAACACTACAGATGCAAATAGACAATGATAATAAACACTTAAATGTCTATTTTGGATGTTTTTGTCTCTACTAATCCGAAATTAGACAGCACATTTACTCAAAAAAGTGCATTAAAAGATCATGTTTTTAGCTTAGGTGTCTCTTCTCAATTGTTTGAAAGATGGTGTTTCATACAAAATGTGTTGTTCTTAAAGGGGCATGTACTTTAGAGACTTATATGTGAAGTTTCTTTACCTGGCATCTGTTTCCTTCGTCTCCATGCCACTATCCTCCTGTAGGCCTTGTCCAGCAGCCAGGTACTCAGCATGAGAAGAGCAGCCACACAGGCCAGAGCCAGGGCTGAGACAGAGAGGTACTGCAGGTCCTCGTACAGCACCTCTGCAGGACACACACCACACACCACACACACACACACACACACACACACACACACACACACACACACACACACACACACACACACACACACACACACACACACACACACACACACACACACACACACACAAACACACACACACATTAGGTTCACTTCACATGAGCTCAGATTACTTTCAAGAGCTGCAAACACAACCCAATCACGTTAGACAATTACTGATATATGTTAGGGCATGACATCACTATGGTTCTTATGTCAAGGTCACAATTCATTATTACTTACTTTATTAAACTATTTTCACGTGTCATCCTTTTTAACTAAAATGCAGCATCATGTTATGTTCACTAAAGATAATGAGGAATACAATGATTTGATAAACTCAAAGCTCCCGTTTGATCTCAAGATCACATAATACATACATTCAAAATGTTACCCTAGACTTTTTCTTTCCTTCACAGAAGGATCACTGAACATACGGGGGTCTAAAGTGTCAGGGGGCCTCCCTAATCCTCTCCTGCAGAATGTCACTAATAAAGACATTATCAAGAAACCAAGAACCACAGAAAAAGATGTAAAAAATCAGGACAAATAGACAAAAGCCATAGTGAGTGTGTTTGCTCCTAGAGGTGATGGGGCCTTTTGTATGTCTGTGCCAAGGGACCAGTTCTTTATTATGAACGTTTAAAATGTTTTGTTTAACTTTCCTATTTCTTCACATATGTTTATTTTGCAACTTAATGAGGCACAGGTAAAGTATTCCACCTGAGAAAACCACTGCTGACTAACAAAACGGTGTGGGAAAAGCTGGCTGCCCTTTTTTTCATTATCAGACCTAAAATAATCATTAACCAATACACTACCATTACATAGATACTCAAATGTGTTCAATGTTTGTGTAGATTTAAAAAATGTCATAAAGAAAAGCTGTGTATTCGTTTGTGTATGTTTTTTTTAGCAGAGAACTTGTATTTGTAATGACATCATACTGCTCTCCTCTCATTTGTCATACTGTCTTTGGGCTCCAGAGTTTCCTCTCGTGCTCTGGGAACTTGGATGTGGACCAGGGCAGTCTGATGCTTAAAGGTCACGTCCACAGAGACACATGACTGTGTTATTTCTATCTACTCAGCCCTGCTATGCAAACTAATGGCGCGTTTCCACTGCAGCGGGTAGCTCGCTTTAAGCGTACCGAGCCGTGCGGGGCCCGTTTTTGATTGCGTTTCCACTTGGCCTAGTACCGGCGGGTCCTAATTCACAGTTTTTCTGGCCCCATAAAATCGTGGTTCTAGGGCCAGGAACAACCAGGCTGAGTCGGGCTGAGTATGCTAAACTAGAGAGAGAATCGCTGGTAAGGGAGCTACAACTACAACAAGATGAACATATTTGACCGTGATTTAATTGTAATACACGTTTCAAAATGATGCCGAAGTAACAACATACTGATACCGGTTAGTAAAAACCATGAATTAATGCTTTGACAAGTCTGCAGACGTGTTTTCTAAATGGAGCTTGGCTAAGCTAACGTTATATATCCGTCCACACTCACAACAACGGCCTACAGACATAAATAAACCAGCGACTGTATTCGCCATGACACAGACAGTCTGTGGTTTGTACTTGTTTAACTTTTGTCTAGTTTCTGAACAGATATGAAGAGCTGTGAGCAGAGGCGCGGGAAGGTATTTTGAGTGGGGGTGCTGAGGTGCTGGACTCCAGTGAACACTATTACGGGCACTATAGAGCACGCACAAAAGCAATCCCCACACGCACACACACAGTACACCCGCGACTGTTACAATGAAGGCTCGATAATCAGCTCACGGCATATAGGCAGGGGTAAAGTGCTATTTTTTACGAGTGGAGAGCGGACCTCACCTCCTCTGAGGTCCGGGGGGATGCTCCCCCGGGAAGATTTTTTTTAAATAATAAAGTTAAAAGCATCAATCTGGTGCACTTTGAGAGATCTATGGATACATCTCTCAACACCCAGATGAAACACAACTGTAAGCAGATGTTCTTTTTCTTTATGGATATTTTACAAATCCCTCCCCTTTCAAACTGTATTCTTGTTTTACTGCCATATAGTATTTCATACCTGTTTTTCCTTTATTCTCTTATTTGTTTTATAACTATAATGATCATATGAAGGTGTGCCGAGGAAATAATCTTTTGAATAATTTGTGACCAAACCGTTTGAGACCCACTGAGATAACTTAGACTAAAGTTAACTATCTAAACACTCAGATGCCCCTTTCACACCAGCGCTTTTTCAGCTCCGGCCCGGAGCTGGAGCCTGAAAAGCGCCGGTTTTTCCTGTTCACACCGCAGCGGCGCCGGCTCTTAGCTCCGGAATCGGGTTCACTTCGAGCTCCAAAAAATTGTCCGTCTAGAGGCAAGAGCTTCGGAGCTAAGAGGTGGCGTCGCTTACGTCTCTCTTACGTCGAGGCGTGCAGGAAAGTAACTAAACCCACCTCCCCTGAACATGGGTCGACTGTCATGCCTGCCTACAAGCAGTAGTGCTTATAAACACACTTTATAAAGTCAGGCAACACTAACCAGGCTTCGTGTGATTCTGTTTATTTGTACCTTACTTTGACCATCCGTTCACTGTTATTGATCATTGTGGAGAGAGGTAGACGTTTTGTTTTGTATTATAACAGCTATCGGATGGAATCAATACATGTATGGGCTGCACAGGTTGTCGTGTCCGACTATCACAAGTAGAATCATAATAAAAATACGCCGGTAAAATGTGCCTGTAGAAAACGGTTTATGCCACAATAGGATAGCAATAGCAAGTAGTCAGTTTAGCTTCGGTTGCTATGCTAACATCACCCATTTTATACCAGAGAAACTTTCATAACAGCGTTGTGATACCAAACAGCGTCAATTCAGACTGAGACACATTCACTTAGGCTAAGGGGAACTGGGGATATGTATCAGCTGCTTGTGTGAGTCGGACAGTGAATACTTTAGAGCGGCCGCTGCAGTGTGAGCTAACCGGGAGCTAACGGAGGAGAATAAACTTCCGTGGAAGAGCAGCCAGCACTGCAGCGGTCGGTAAATGCTGCAGAAACACATTAATAAACAATGAACCACGGCACTCTGGAGGAAAGTATAAGGTTGGAGAAGTCGTTATTCAATTTATTCTGGCTTCGTGTGATTAAAAGCAACACGATCATCGACCCGACGCAGTTCCCCGTTGTTGTGAGCGCCGTAATGCCGTTGGGGAGCAAATCAGCGATGTAAACGATGACGTCATGACGCAGCAGCGGCAGCACCAGTCGGGTGCTGGGCGGTGTGAACAGAGCGGGAGCAGAAAAGGGAAACCGGAGCTGAACCAGAAAAGCTCTAGCTCGGAGCTAGAAAGGGAAAAGCGCTGTCTGAGAGGAGAGCTCTCCTCCAGCTTGTTGTGGAACCAACAGCAACAGCTCCGTATGTCCGTTAGTGCAGCTAGCTAACCAGATGCTAACAACACGGTCCCTGCTGCTGGCACCGGTCCCCAGGGCCGTATCCAGGATTTCCTAAATACCGAGGTCCAAACATGCTAGGGGAATTCGGGGGATACCCCCCGAGATTTTTGGGATTTTCATGATCTAGTTATGGTGCTTTTTAAGTCCTATGGGGGGTCACAAATTGGATAATATATCGATTTCAAACCATGTCAGTGGGCTGACAATGTCAGCATCAATTATTTTGAAAGTGTAATACATAATAAGAATCAGTTGATTGTTACTATTAATGATCTGGACATGCAGAAGAGGCTAAAGCCGTGACTTTTATACCTAGGCCCTCTGACCCCCACCCAGGGGCGGCGCCAGGGGGGAGCTAGGGGGTGCTGAAGCACCCCCCAGGATTGCCAAAGCACCCCCTAAGCACCCCCAAGAAATATGTGTTTTTTTGTTTTTTTTTCGAAAATTAATATTATTTTTTTAATTAAATTAAATTAGAAATATTATTGATTACATCAATGCATATGTGAAACAAACACATTTTTGACCAAAAACATAAAGCCAACACAGGTGATATGATTAGGCCAATGGTCAGCACCCATTCGATTTTTGACCTACCCATAGGCTAAATTACTTTGTGACACTTGATTGACTTCCTGTTAGCTAGAGCGCCAAATGATTTGCTAACAGCAAAGTGAAAAATTGATCGTTTTTTAGTCCTTAAACGACCACGTGTGGACACTCAATCAAAACCAACTGAAAGCGAGAGGGATTCTGCACATAATAGGCCTCGTGAGTACAAGTAGCTTACTTCTGGGTCTCTGTGTTTCATTCAAGCCCTGCTCTGTGTGTGTGTGTGTGTGTGTGTGTGTGTGTGTGTGTGTGTGTGGCACGAGCCATTTTGTGTGCGTGCGTGCGCGAGCGAGCGAGAGAGCTCGCCTCGCGCACCAGTGGGTATCTACCGGAGATCGTTGTGGTTAGCATCTGGTGCTAGCTAGCCAAGCTAATGGATATAAGGAGCTTTTTCAACAACAAGGTGGAGGGAGAACTCTCTCCTGTCAGACGGAGAGTCTCAGGTAACCTCAACTCAGGTGAAGTAAAGGACTCTCTGTGTTTAGATAGTTAACTTTAGTCTAGTTATCTCAGTGGGTCTCAAACGGTTTGTTTTAAAAGGGGAGTGATTTGTAAAATATCTATAAAGAAATAGAAAATCTGTTGACAGTTCTGTTTCGTATGGGTGTTGAGATGTATCCATAGATCTCTTAATGTTGCTCTCAAAGTGCACCAGATTGATGCTTTTAACTTAAATATGTAACAAAAAATCTTCCCGGGGGAGCTAGCCCCCGGACCCCCCTAGAGGAGGTGAGGACCCTCCTAGAGGAGGTGAGGTCCGCTCCCCACTTGTAAAAATAGCACTTTACCCCTGCCTATATGCCGTGAGCTGATTATCGAGCCTTCATTGTAACAGTCGCGGGTGCACTGTGTGTGTGTGCGTGGGGAGTGTTGCAGTAGAAAATTCAACTGTAGCGCTGGTGCATTAATGGGAA